ACTCCTGGATCCCCGAAGGCCGCGAGCAAGAGTTCCACTTCCAGTCTTGTTCAGGCACCCGCTGGCGACAGATCGACGCCGAACCGCATCTGGGCCATATCCAACTCAACGACGTCCCTGACAACGTCGACATGATCGTGTTGCAGGCTGGCGGCAACAACGCAAATTTCGCTCGCGTCGCATATGCGTGTATATTTGCGCCGCAAGGTGCAGATTACGGTCCCGAGTACCCCGATCAGAACGGTCAATGTTTCAAGGAACTCGAGGCTACGAAGCAGTACATCCTCGGTACTGGACGCGACCAGCTTTTCCAAGACGCGCGGTGGATCGTCAATCAAGTCTTTGACCATCCCAAGATCAAGAAGAATCCCAAGTTCCGGCTCTTCGTGGTTGGATACTTCCAGTTCTTCTACGACGAGGGTGGCGAGGGCGATTGGTGTAGTAATGTGAGCTTTGGTCTGCGGTCGAGTGATCGTCCAAGGCTTACCCTTGCTTTGCGGAAGCGCATTAATGCGCTTATTCGCTATTTGAACAAGGCAATTGAGGATGGAGTCAAGGGCAGCTTCCATCCGGAACGGGCGACCTTTGTCGATACCGACCAGCATCTTGAAGGTCACCGGTTCTGCCAGCCTGGTCATACGCTGTATGACCAATACTTTGGCGACAATGTGTATCTTTGGAACATGTCTCCGAGTGGTATCTTCAGTTGGCAGGGCGAAATGGTGGGAGGTATAGACGATGGCGATGGTAACGCAGAGGAAGGACGCCAGCCGACGCAAGCTGAATTCGAGCACTGGCTCGAGACCGGTAGATTTACCGACGACCCTCGCGAGATCGAGTTCAACCTAACTTCTGCGCTCCAGTCGGGCAACGATGTAGCCGTCGCAGATGACCCGGATAACCTGCAGTGGCTCGACATGATCGGCCCGTATCAGCAAAACTACCCCGGGTTGACTCTTCGACCCTTTCACCCCACCGAGAGCGGCTACCGTGAGATGGCGAAGGCGATCATGGCGAAAGTGAAAGAGAAGCTCAAGATCGATTACCCACCTAAACCTGCTCCAGCTCCGACTCCACCAAAGCCGAAGGCCACCCATTCGATCCAGATCTTGCTGGCTGGCTACGGTGCTAGCAAGTGGTGGCAGATCTACCAGGGCCCGCTAGGTGTACCAGTCAAACTTTGTGTCGACGATGGCCGCTTCAAGGATGCTGTCATTGACGAAGAAAAATTTGAGAAGGACATGTATCAGAACGACGCCAATATCCACGATCCACCTTACGTGACGGCGGGCAAGAAGTGGCCTCTTAAGATCGATGGCGAGGAAGACTGTTCTTTCGAATCCAGCGCTAACAGTCCTGGGTTTCTCAAGTGCGGAGGTGGTCTAGAACTGGACTTCGCGGCCGATCCTCAAAAGGGTGATAAGACTGTTACTTGCGGAGCGGTGCAGGGCCGGTTGGATAATGTAAGGTTGCATCGCGCGTGGTATGTCGAGTACTAAGCTGCGCACTTAGTTGGGTGATTGGATGTTGTTGTGCCATATTCGCTGGAAGGCCTCGAGAAGGGAAGATAGAGCAGGCGCGTTGCAGGCGACATTAGTACAGAGGACGATACTCGACGACATGCTGAGGCAATGTTATGTAGGCATCTGGATTGTTTACTTTCGGTGTGTTATCTCTCCCTTGTATGCGGTAACGCATCGATGCATATCTAGGTAGACACTGGTGAATATGAAACTTGTTGACCAGATCTCTCTTAATCGCGAGTCCGTGATGAACGTAGTTGAGGAAGCCGCATGGAGGTCTCACACATCGCCAAATGCGCGATGGACGACCTCGGGAGGCAAATACCACGACGTGTCGCATATGACCCAAGAGTAATAGACCCTGCGCTGCTAATGATGCCGGGCTAGTCATAGTGCGATGTCGCCGAAAGCGCGTGTGCTGATGCCAAGGACGTGATGAGTGAGATGCAGAAGACGCGACGCGTCAAGCGGCGTGTGTGGGACATGATTAGTCAGCAGTGCCGGTGTTCGCGTAGCCATCTCCCCGCACCCCCGCGGTGCCCCCGACATCGCCACAAGCCGGCCTGGCTCAGCATCGTTTCGCGTAGCTATACACATAGACTTCATATCATGTTCTTTCTTGCCATATATGAACCGCTACGGACCCCCGGAAAGGCTTCCTTCCTATCACCGCACGGCCGTGTCGCTGCATCCGCCGACCCAGCTAGCAGGAGCGCTTGCATCTCACGTGGAGAAGATACGACACATCTCGGAATGACTGGAGAACTTGGTATAAACTTGTATTTGCCATTTGCGCGAGTCACTACTGCCGCTGCGTCTATTCTAGCCGAGAACGCCCTCCGTGCCTGAGTATGCAGGCACGTAGCATGCTAGCCTTCCACGGCTACATGCATTAGACCCATCACAGAGCATATCACACAGTACCAAAGTGTCCCTTTAGCAAAAAATTAAAAATGTTAAAATATTAGCTAGAGGCTTAGCGCGTTAAGCCCTACAAAATTTACTATCTAATTGCAAGCAGGCTGCAGGGGCCCTGCATCTTATACTTATTCTTATATATATATACTGTTGCTTGCAACACAAACTCGATGAATTTAAAATACACAGAGCATATCACCTTAGACATTCGGCACACATCATTCATTCTGCGCATTATCTTTAGAACCTCACGACTCATCTGAAACCAAATGCGCGTATCTCCGGGCACACGCGTGCGATGACGGCCAGCAGATAAATGTAAGACATTCTCCTCTTTCCTAGCAACGGCACTCGCCCTACGTTCTCGCGTGTCTGTTTACTGTATATACACGCTATAAATAGTTCCGCTCGTTCTCCATGGGACCCAGTTTCGCCAACACATAGTCCTACCCATTCATCACATCGCCATCATCATCATTTACCCAACGTCAGCCCACCTGCCCTTCCTCGCACACCGCATCTTGCCATTCACGATGGAAGACAATGCCGACGTTGCCCTTCGTCCTAGCTTTCCCTTTCGTGCCACGAACGTTAGACTTCCGTCGGCAAGGAAGCTTTTCCTCGTCCTGTTCACCATATTCGTACTGTTCGCCCTTCTCGCCTCTTCCTCCGCCTTCACATGGATAACCGCATCTGCAACCTCCGCCCTCAAGCTTATGCCCTCCCCTGGCGAAGTACCCATTCAGATCTCGAATTGCACGTTCTACCACGTGGCTAGTGCCGCAGACGGCGGAAAGAATAAGAATACGATGTACTTCGAATCGTGGGTCCGAAACACAATACTCGGAGTCGCATGGTGGATGATATCAAGAGTCTTTATTATGGCAGTGGTCCTGGCATCGGTCCTGCTCATCTGTACGGTACTACACGAGACGCTACACGAAGAGGATAAGAGGATGAAGTTACTTGGTCGGGTCGCATGCCTTGCACTCATTCATGCCCTAGGATTTGGGATCAAAGGAGTGAAGGTAGACACGGACATGTCGACAACGGTAACGACGTCCGAGACGCCGTATGCGACTACGGTCCACACCACTGTTACCTTGACTGTGACTGAAATTCAGGGCAAAGAGAGGCCGGTGTCAAGGAGTCCGCTGGGATATCATCTGTGAAGGGTTGTTGGCTTCTTTTTATACCATACAGGTAAGTTAGGTCCGTACGAACTACAGTCGACACATACACTAATTTTGTATTATTACTACTTTAGCACATTACGACGGAGTACCGAGGTATATTCGGGCATATTATCACAAACGTGGATGCTGAGGGAGGGACAGGGGATTGGGACAAAAGTTGGTAGACATTGACAGGGATGGAAAGGAACAAATTGCATTTGAGATTACCGTACGAAGCACATGGGAAGGCACTAGTAGCTCGCGCTTTCTTTTGTATCTAATAGTCGGGCAGCACAATAAATAAACGCAAATACTAGATCTTTCTCTGCACAAGCAACAAAGCAACATTGCCAACCATTCCCTTACAGCAAACATCAATCCTCGCCATATTTCACTTTCCGCTCCACTCTTCGTTTCCAGCAACCCGAAACCATCATCTCACCAACCATCCCGAATCGCTTCATCTCCAAACTACCCACTCACCCCAACCCAAAACCTCCACCATCCAGATCATGCCCGACCAAAACATTCCCCCCAACACACCAGCTGCCCGCCACGCTGCTGAAAAAAAGTCCATGATCATCAAAATCTACTGTACCATTGCATTCCTGGAGTTGGGAGTTTTTGGTCTATTCCCATCTTGGTTGGCAGCGAATATTCTAGCGGTGGTGTTCGCACTGTTGTATCTGGGGGTCCGTTATTTTGCGAACACCAATGCGGCAGCCCGGGGAGCTGATGGAGATGATGGAGATGATGCTGTTGAGCTGCGAGAGGGTGTAGGTCATAGCATGGTTGCTGAATACATGGGCGGAGATGGCGAGGGTTGCGTTGATGATGTGGGGAGATTTGAAGATGCCGAGGACAGCAACGACGATGACGATGAGGAGGATGAACATGAAGAGCACGGCGAGGAGCCAGAGGAAGCGGAGACCGATGAGGGAGCTGCTGACCAAATTCGTTCAACGCAGAATAACATTCACATACACCGGGGTGGGAGCATGTACATCAACACGATGCAGGGCGGAACGTTGACTGTCAATGTTTTCGGGGATGTGGAAGGAACGGGTTCGGGAAGAGGGTAGCAGAACGCACGCTGAACAGATCAATAGAAGAGCACGGAAAAAGGCAGGATGGTAGAGATGGACGCGCTAGGTTCTGTGAATAGTGGACCTGCTCTTATGAGGGTCCGCGCTTGACTTGGTTCTAGGAAGTATATAGGTGACGTAGACATAAGAACATGTTGTTGAACGTATCAGATGTTCCAACCACCGCCATGTAATCAAGCTACTCCTCGGTGGTGGACGGGACCACAGCTTTGCTTCCTATGAATATCTTGCCGAGAAACCGGGGTTGTACGTCCGTGTCCAGTGACCTCCTAACAGCCCTAAGCCACAGCAGTCACCTCCGTAGGAACAATGCTGAACCCCACAGCCGGACCCAATCCAGTATGCTTAACAGTCTCGTTACCCGTGTACGTGTACCTCACTTCACCCCTATCACTTGTCAGCTCTCACCATCCTCAACCCCCCTACCTCCTCCCATAGGGTATACTCACTGCGTAAACGTGTACTGCACACTAACAGTCGCACCGACATCACTCCCGCGGTTGAACTCCTGCGTCTGCACATCGCCCGGTACATCAATCCCAACTACACCGCAAGATTTGTAGCCACCCTGGAGACTAGTGCCGGAGCGGAACTCCGCATTGAAGGCTGGTTGGCCGGAGGGACCGGTGGGCGTGGTGACATTGAAGGAGTAGCGGCATGCTGATGCAGAGCAAACGCTGCTGAAGTCGGTGACGGACCAGGTCCAGTCTGCGCTACGGGGGAGGGCCGTTGCGGATGCGCCGGGTGCGAGGAGAGCGAGGGCGGTGATCTTTGAGAGCATGTTGAGTGTTTGGGATGGGTGTTTGCGAAGTTTGTTGGTCTTGTTGGTGTTGGTTTCCTCTCCCACCAGGCGACGAGGGGGCTTTATAGGTTTACCCATCATGTGTGGGGCGATCGTGGCAGCATAAAACGTGTGTCGCTTTCATGATGATGCAGCTGATGTGACGTTACATAGCCACGGTGCTTCGAGGTATCTGAGGCAACTGATCCGGGTCGAGATCGGTTTTCGCGGTTCCTGACGCCACTCGTATGCGCAATACTTCGCTGCAAGGGCACGTAGATCATCGCTGTACGACGGCTACGGCATTGCGGCATGTCCTCTAACAATTGCCGCTTTGGGAGGGTTGGTGAATGTTCCACCGTGCTTACTGATGGTGACAAGCGTGGCAACAGGTGCCAAGAAAGGAAACATGCAAGAATAGATCAACTGCAGAACCCCAGTGACGCGTCCACGGTTCGTATTTAGTCCCGATGGGAGTGAATCACATGGCCGACAGTGATGAGGTCGTCCTCGTATCCAGTATTGGCACCTCGCACAACACCTCACGTAGGCACGGTCAACGTCTCGCCCGTGGTAACCCTCTTCTTGCTCACTGGCGATCCCGTATAAACATGGCTATCAGTAACAGATCTCATCATACCAGGACGTCGTTGTGTACTAGGCAAGTCGAATGGGCTGGCATGGCCATGTGTGGATCCAGGGATCACGAATCTAGGTCTACTACCAGGTGTGGCAACTGGGTCCGCGGGTATCTCGGGGGGCGGAGGTTCCGCAAGCGGGTCGGAGAGAAAGAGAGCCAGTAGCTTTTCGACGATGTCGCGCATTCGGTCGGGGGTGGCATGTAGCGGTTTCTCGGACATGTGCTTCCTCTGTAAAGTTGTCAGCGAAGGTCTTAGATGTCGGCTCATGTGTCTTACCAGTGCCAGTTGTGCACCTTTAAAGGTTTGGTGGTATATCAGCTTGTACTCGTCGTCCTTCGCAGCCTCTTCAGCGGCTGCTTCTTCACTCCGCTGCTGACTCTCCTCGGCACCAGCCATGGAGGCGCGGCGAGACCTGTTCTGTTTCCGCTGCTGCAAGCCATGCATGCGCATCGCTGCCATGACCACCTTGACCAGTGCATCTTTGTTTCGCGACTCAGTCGTTGGCTCTTCAGGCTGTATGGGTACTGTAGCGACCTGTGACAGGTTCGATCGCCTGGCATGCGCGTCGGATTGACCCTTTCGGCTGAGGGGTCGTGAATCGTAGGTTATGCTCGGTGATCGGGAGAGTGGGCGTGAAGTAGGGCGAGCTGGGTGGTCAGAAGCAGACGTTGGCCTGGAGTCGGACAAAGACGAGGCTTTCAAATCGATAGAAAGCGATGACTTCCGGTGGGTGTATGCCTGCTGAGACTCGCTCACGCGGGCTGCTGCTGCCGACACTGCTCTTCCGCCCCTTCCTCGTGCCTTCTTGTTGGCTATGGTCGCTTCTTCAAATATGTCTCTCGTTCGCTTTGGTGATGTTGGGGGGTTGTGGAAATCATGCTGCGGCGCAAGGAATTGAGGCTCGGCATCCATGGGCAGGTCGATGCTGGTGACATCTAGAAGATCGGACGAAAGAGGTAGTGCGTGAACTCGAAGCTCAGGGAGTGTCTCGGCGTGCGCGTTGTCGACGTATGGGGACGAGGATGGTGGTGTGGGTAGCCCAGCTGTGGTAGGAGGAGCGACGGTGCCGTAGAAGAGGATCTCGGTCACTCTGGGCTTCCGCCCGTCTTCCTCAACCCTTTGCACTTGTACAAGAAAACCAATTGGCGACTGTGATCGCGCCAGGTCCCACCATTTCTTCGTGGCAGTGTTGGGCGCGTCCGCCAACGTAGGCTTACTCAGCAGGACTGCCTCAAACCAAGCCTGGGTAGCTTCCTCTGTCGTCCATACGTCTAGACTGGGGCCGGCGGCAAGGTATAGCGGTATCTTGGCGGTATCGACGGTGGTGAGGAAGCGCAGAGCCGTCGCGGGGAGGGCTGGGGAAGACGCGACATTTTGCGACGCGAGGCCGACGTCTGTAGGGCATTAGCGACTGTATCTTCTCGGCTGATGACACTCAGTACCCCTAATAACATTGCCGTCGGGTAGCAGAATATCTCCGCTCCAGATATCCGTCATTGCGGATGTTAATGTAAGTGTTCGGGCCAGGTAACGCGGGATGCAAGTCGCTATGACGCGCCATTCGCGCTAACAACACGCGAGGGCACGTGCAAGATGGCAACATTCACCTTCATCGTGACCATTCTTCTACGTTGCAGGCTACGTTTTTGGACCTTTATGAAGTCTGGAAATGCTCTAATGTTTTCATACGCCATCTCCAAGCCACCGCCGAATTCTAACATTGTGTGGCGAGATGCCTCCATCGCGTCACCTTCGCACTACTCTAACATCCATCTCCACACACCCCACCCTCCACTCCCACTACTCTCCCTTCTCTACCTTTCCCTCCTCCCTAACCGCACAAACCTCTTCCCTCATCTGTCCCTTCAAACCACTTACCATCTTATCTATCCACTGCACGCTTTCCTCGTGCGCCCTGGAACGCGCGTCGCAGTCCTTCTCGTTCCGTCTCAGCACATCTCTCTCTTTGAGACATTCGTCCAAATTAGCTCTGACAGCAGCCATATGGTAATTGTATCTGTGCGCTTGTACTACCCCTCCCTGCAGGGTCATGTTAAGGGCGTGCTTGCATGTGTGGAGGGCTTGGCTGTGTGCTAGCAGGGCCTGGTCGTTCCAATAGAGCTCGATGGCGGTAAGTGCGGCGATGATGGGGAGCCATAGTAAGAGGAGCCGATTGAGTTCGAAGTGGTGGGGGATGAAGACGATGATCAAGAGGACTAGAATGATAGACGCGGCTATTTCGAATCGCAGTGTTGACGCGGCTAGTTCGAGCCACCGTGACATGATGGGGCGGTATGCGTTGCGTGATAGGGGTTCCGGTTATTTTCTTCTTCTTCTACTGATATAGATTCACTCGTGAATTTGAGTTTGCTATACACTTAGTCCAAGCCCCAGAGAATAAAGAACGCGACAGGCTCCTCCAGCGTTCTAGAAGAATTCACGCGTTACCAGGACCTTCTTTCCATCCGAACGCAGGACAAAATGGAAGTTCACTCAGCCTCCTCTTATCCTCATCATGACTTTCCGACGTTCCTCTCCTATTCCACCTCATCCTCTCCTCCGACGGGATGCAAAGTGCAGGAGATCAACTCAGCCATTCGAACTTAATGGTCGTTCCTTTCCGCATCCTCTGCTCACTTCAGAAGTACTGGTGGCTGCCCGAGTAATTATCTTGCTACAAAGTACGAAGCAGGGAACCATAACAAAGAACTACGTTGAGATAGTAGCCTCTCTTCTACAACGTCCGGATGAGCGACGTCAGTGCAGAAAACAATATAGCTCTTCTAATCAAGCATAAGTTCTATATCTCACCTATCTCCTTGCCTACACAACATCCTGACTCGCCCACCCAATCCCTATCATCTCATCCCCGCATTTCCCCGCTATCCGACCTTCTCGTCCTTTCCATCCTCCTCCCCACCCGTCAACGCCACTTCCCTCATCCCCCAAAACAAGCCATCTACCTTCATCCCAATATCCCACGGAACATCCCGCCCATGCTCCTCGCAATGCGCACGGCAATCATCACGAAACCATCTCAGCCCGCTCTTCTCCATCTCGCATTTGCTCAGTTCAGCCCTCAGAGCGGCGACGCCTTTCATGGGCCTGTTCTCTAGCTTGCTTTGCAATATGGCGTTGTGTTGTGTGGCGTTATTGAGATGGTCTTCGCATGTATGGAAGGTGAGGTTGCATGCTTGGAAGGATTGATTGGTGGTATAGAGTTGGTAGGCTGCGAGGACGGCGAGGACGGATGTGCTTATGAAGGCAAACCTAGCGTACTTCGGATCTGGTGTAATGGGTGCGGGATAGATGATGATTGAGAGGATAGCGAAGGGGGCGCAATAGACTGCCAGAGCAATCAGTCCGGTGATAGCATATGATGACATGATGTAGCGAAATCTGCGTTGTGTGATGCGGATCTACTCGCGCGCACTGTGTGGATATACCTAAGAATGGTGAGTTTGGGTTTGCTACATACTTCAATTGAGCAAGAGAGATCAAAGAACGCAACTGCTTTAGAAGTTATTCTGAAATTCCACAGCAATTCCCGCATCACCAGAAGCTTCTCCTCGCTCCGATGTAGGACGAAACGATGTGTCGGAGTCTCATCGTGACATGACACAACTCATTCAGCGTATACATTCGAGCTACGAACTGATTCCAACCAGAGACTCTCATCACAGACCAGTGTATTACATAGAGACGGCAAGGCACAGCAGAACCCCAAAACTGTCTCAATCCGTCTCAACTTCGCTATAGACTCGACCTTTGCATACGTAAACCGCCGTATGACTTTGCAAAGTCTCATTCTCCAGTCGTCTCGCCGATATCGTCCTCCGTAAACATCCTCCATCTCACGGTCCTCCATAGCATCCGACATGCCACCACCTCCCCCCTCATCTTACAACCAACGCATCATGCTCAGTCCCATATTCTCTTCACCCACTGCTCTCTTGACAGCAATAGTGATAACGTAGCACAGAACAAACGCTGGGGCACATGCCACGACATAGGGTAAGTCTATTCTGAGGTTCTGCATAGTCTGTTGGTAAGTGTGGCCGTTGGAGATAGCTTGTCTGACGGTTCTGGAAAGTGTGGCTAGGGCGAACATGAGGTAGATCAGGAAGTGGATGGTTGTATCTGACATTTCGGATGGGACTTTGGTGTGTGGTGTGTTTGAGTAGGTGAGATGAACGTGTGGGTGGGTACTTGGCTTCGACGGGAGAGAGGGAGATGGATGATGCTGACGGGTGGACACTGAGACAATGGTATAGATTTAGAATCAGTCCACAGTTTGCGATGTCTTGTTCTCGGTCATTCGCAAACACCTTCGCTTTGAGCGATTTGTATTGCAGATAC